GCGTTTGCAAGATTTCAAGTGATCTTTCAAGTTTGTATCTCCTCCCCGTACTCTCAATCGCAGCAATGCCCTGAAGTTTCCATCATTGTGCTTGGGTTCCATCCCAGTTGAATCTACTGGTCCATCATCACGATGGCCTCTAAGCGCAATATTTTGCCTGGCGCATGTTAGAAGGGTGTCGATGATGGGAACCAGCGCAGTCCTGTTTCTTTCAATCTCTTTCTGCCTTTCAATGTTCATTATTGATCGAACGTCCTTCTCACTCCCAGGTGTTGCACGGCTCAAGAACTCCGTGTACTTTATGGCACATGTCTTATGAAAAGATGTTTCTTGGTGACTTGTGAGGGCTCCATTTTTCCCTGTCAAGTCTGAAAAGTTTACAAGAGGCTTGTTAACAAGTTTGCCCATTGACTGGCCTGCTCCACCTCCGTATTGTGCACCTCTTCCACCTCCACTCTCGCACGTCTTGAATAAAACGCAATACACACACCAAGCACCGCAACATTTTGGCTCTCTGCTGACAGCTAGCCAGGGGAAGGTTTTCAAGTGATTTTCACCCAGAAAACGCTTCGTTGTCGAGGACATACCAACCATGAGCTGATTCTTTGGTTTTTTCTTTTCAGAAAATGGATATTCATCCCTTCTCTGCGGCACCCACCTCTTCGATAAATATGCTTCCCTTTCGTTATCTGTCAGCTGTTCTCCTCGTTTTGTTTTCATTATAGCTCTACCAATGTCATATCTATCAGATATTGCAACATTTACTTGTGTCGCCATACAACAGAGGTCTGGGTGTGTTTCCTCTTCAGGACAATCCTGGACTACCGCAACTTGGCTTTGTGTGTCGAATTCTTCACCAGTAGATTTTGATTCAAATTCTTGGCAAGTGGTAGTTTCACATGTTTTAGAGATTTCAGGGTTATCTCCAACTGAACTGGTGCGGCTACTTTTTGAGAAGAATGATTCAAGAGTTCTTGATTTCTTTGGCGGACCAGACATTTTAATCAAACCTCCAGTCGGCTTTATTCTCTCGCTTTCAGTGAGGCAATAAGTTGCAAGTGGATGTGTAACACAAGAATTATGATAAGCCTAAAACAATAGTTCAATGCAAAATTAGATGTGACCGGATCTCGCGGCTCATATGGACTATGGTTTAACACAAATCATGACTGCGATCATGAATGAATGACGTCTGCAAACGTTAATGGTTGAGAAAGTTATGGCTAAAATGGGTTACAGTTCAAACATTGTTCATCGTGTTATTGCGATTGTGATACCCAAAAAGCGTCACTATTTCCAACAAAAGCAAAACAGTACCTATAACTACTCAGCTTTGCCTGTTATGCTGCGATGAATTTTTGGTGACTACCCATTTTGAAAATTTACCATTCAAATTATACGCACCAAATACGTGGGGACTTTTGCTCATTTTCTAAATCTTTTTTTCATCTTAAGGGTATGTGTCTTATGCCGGCTTCTTGAACACAGGAATTATAATGTCATTCACGAACTCTGATGCGTCATAGTTCCCCTCCCAAGTCAAGCGCGAAAGCTGCTGACCAAATATTCAATATGAATATTTGTAAAGGCTGAAATACACGATCAGTTTTTTATGTCAGTTTTCCCCAAAGTTATTTCTATATCCGTTTTTCATCAGTTTAACCAAAGAAGCGCGTGTTTACACGATTAGCCAAAGTTCATCAATTTTTCATCATGTATTTTAGCCTTTACTTCGCTTGGAAGTTTCTCGCAGCAATGAAGTTTCTTAATTTTCAGTGTTCTGAGAGTGTACCTTCTTATGAAATTTTTTGATAGAAAGGGGCGTTTCCCGCGTTCGGTGAGACTTTGAAGGGCGTGTCTGTGAAATTTTCGCAGGCCTCCTCTTCTTTCATAAATGGCCCTCCCCAAACGCAGACGCTGGATCCGCCCCTGCTACCTTAACTTTTATTCTACTGCGCTTAATTGTTTAGGGGGGGTGGTCAAATTGCATATTTTGAAATTGTTCTCCCTCAATAGCATTTTATAATGAGGCCCCAGATCAAGAAAATTATGAAAAAGGCCTGCGCCCATTCAATTATCACCCTCCCTCCCAGTGATTCGAGCTTCAAAAATGACAATTAACCAGGAAAAAAATGCAATGGTAAACTGATAAACACAGTAACTTTAATATCAACTATAAAATGCATTGTACCTTTTTAGAATTTCCACCGGATCATTTTATTTTGACCTCGCACCTCATCATTTTACGAAGTTTATGACAAATAACCATCACCTCCTGCATTTTCCTGCTTCCTGCGGAGGAGACAAACTTCGAACTTTCTCGGCATTAAATGTGTAGCTTCACAAGAACAGAATCCAAAACACAGTCCAAAATTAGCAATGGCGAGCGCTGCAGTCGTTGGGAGTTCTGGTTCAGAAACACAGACAATCGAACCACCGCTTTCACAAGAACAGGTATAAGCCAATAACTTTTCTCAGGACAAAGTTTGGAGTCATTTATTATTAGAATGAAATAACAAAACAAGATGAAGTCTCTTTCCTTCATCCTGTGATGCAATAGGTAAACACGTACAGTAATGGCCTAGGTACCTACCGATTGCCACAGGTAACCCATTACACGAAGCACGCAGAATTAATATGGTGGCGCTGCTGTGAATATTTTTCTGTAACCTAGAGTTGGTATAAAACAATTATTATTCAAGATAAGTTTGTACCTAAATAAGTTTCGTAGCTGTGGACTAAATGTCGCAAATTTTGGCCAGAAGTTTGAACAGGAAATTTTCTCCGTTCTGGATTTTTTCCTTTTAATTAGATACAATATAACCTAATATTTGTGGAATTGGAAAGTGAGAGTGAGTAGTGTGGATCCAGAAATTTGACACGGTGACTTTTTTGTCGTTATCCAACTTTTTTTGCTAAAGATAAGGGAGTATTTTACTACAAAAGTAAAACTTTTATAGCATGCTTAAATTTGACAATACCTCATTATTAATTATGTGCACATTTCTTGTGTCTGTTGATATACAGTATATAATATGCACCCTGTCTGAATGGGATCAGATCCAAAAGTATCTGCAATTACACTGAAATTGTTTTTGAACCCAAATCATGCAAGACTACATGTCTGTCTATGCAGGGGCCCACACCACAAATTTAAAGGTGGAGTTGCAAAGTTCTATAAATCGAACTTGAATTTAGTGCTTCAAAACAGGGCCTCTTTGTAAGTATTAGATCACTCCAATTAGTCTACTTACTCATGCCACGTAATGCATCACAGCTTAAACTCTAAGTTGATCGTTTAGACAGTTCCAACTGGAAGAGCCCTATAGCCAGTTATGACATTTGTCTTTAGCAAACAAGAACATAAACTTTTATTGCTTTACCAATTTAGGCACTGGTTTTGCATTTGCAAAAGCCAAAAAATGACAAAAAGGTTCAGTGGAAACAAGGAACAGTTGATAATGAGAATGCTGGCAAAAAATCATCAAAATGTGAGTTCATTTCAGCTGTTGATTAAGAAGAATTCTGATTCAAGGTGGATTGAATTATAATTTAAAAACTTCAATTCCTTTTCTTGATACAAAATCTTGGTAAGCCACTTGCCAGAGTGCATTTTTGTTCTTGAAAAGCTGGTATATTTTTGGATCCCAAATACTAGACAATTCCAAAGAGAACAGCAAGAGTCCTACAAAATCAACCAGAAAAAAACATGTGTGTAAGATATGGAAAAATATTTTGTGGGCCTTTTATTTATGATAAAATATATTTTATTAGTTGACGTTTTTGTAAACAAAGCTAAGCGACTCAAAAGGCAGCCTGCATGAAATCTAGTGATGGTTTAAGGGAGCCGGGGTCCCAAGCCCCACACTTTGGTAGCTGAAATAGGCCCCAAACCAAAGAACAAAATTAAAAGATTGTAAAGAACAAGGCCCCCACCGACTGTTTTGACCCCCAAGCCCCACAGATGTTTTTGAAGCCAGGCCCAAGAGTCCCTAAAACCACTGCTGATGGAATCAAAGCAACACAATTTTATTTATATTATATATTAATATTAAGATTTATTTTTATCAAAACATAAAGCATTTTAAGATTTCAACATTTAACTTAGATTGTTCACTTTAAGTAACCTTTCAAACAACCTACTTCCATTATTTAATTTTTTGAAACTCTTTGCACATCTGTCAAACTTCACTTCATTTTAGGCTGTTGTATATATGAAAGACCGAAAGTTTTTGGTGAATCATCTTCAGAATCTGAGGAGTCAGACAATGAAGATAAATGCAAAGGCCCCAAAGATTATCATAAAAAATCAAAGAGTTATGGACATAATCATGAGGATTGCAACTGTGGGTAGCTGAAATTAACATATGTACATTTTGGTATTTGTAAATACAATACATGATTTTGAATATAATTCTGCAATGTATATAACTTTATTTATAAAAAATTAACTTCCAAACGATGGACAATCATCTTTCTTTGAAATCTGGTTGTGTTCTACTAGTTGAGAAAGTAAGGATGTGATGAATAGATCAAATGTATGCATCAAATTGAGCATTTTCGATGGCCAATCTGTGATAAGTGCAGAAACAGGTTGCATGTTGCCTCAGGGCCCTGTGGTCTAGGGTGTCACAGTTATGAGCTCAATTTTGATATTGTTGTCAAGAAAAACATTTACCAACATACCTGTCAAGCTACTGAGTTGCCCTGCCCTAGGATTTTGCATATTAAACCATAAGTTTGTATATAACATGGCAATTAAACCATAAAAACCCTTTAATTTTTGCCACCATTTTTCATTTTTTTCAATAAAACGAATACAGAATGAAAATGCAATTACCAAAAACAATTGACTCTGTATAAACACTACATAATGAAAAACAGTACAGTTTCACAAGAATCACTGAAGGAACCACCCATGAAAACTTCAATCTATGTAGAAATTTTTTTCAAAATAACAATGTGGAACGCCTTTCAGCTACAAATTTCAACATTTTGCCAGAATATACAGATAAAACTTGCCGGTTAGCCAGCACACTCTGGTAAATTTGAATGTGGCATGTTTGAAAATATCCTTATTGTTTAAAACAAACATATTAAAAGCACATTGCATGTGGAAAAACATAAGATTTTTAGCTTACACTGTACAATGACTCCAAGTCAGGCGATCGCACGACCAAATCGCAGACACGATAGAATATCTATCCCGTGTCTCAGAAGTGGAAATCAATCCCGCGAGGGGCCGAACATACGGGTTGTGCCACCAAATTTGACAAAGTGGAGACCAGCCTTTTGGCTCTCTACAATCCTGTCAACTCTCGATTTTTATTGTAACTATTGAATATACATCTTTAAATTGTTTCTGAAAAGCATCAAACAGCTTGCCGGGTTGGCATCATTACATCCGTAGTGCATAATACAGTAGCAATTTTTTATTGTCTTTTTATTGTCATCGTCTAGAATATTTTCTTTAGGCTTAACAAATGAAAGTTTCTCAGAAATGGACCAAAGATAAAGCTCCTGTCTAGACCTGTTCCGAGATTACACTGGTTCCAAAAAACCGGTCAAGCTACTATCCGCTACTATTAAGAGCTATATTTCCCCGTAAATCTTGAATTTTTGATCTAAAATTTCAATTGCAACAATTGCTGCATTTCTCCCTGACTTACTACAGTTCTTCTGTTTACATTATGAATTGAACCCCCACAAAATTCTGACAGAGTTCTCAGCTTCCTAATTCATCTTTTATCCCAGAGTATCCGAAGAATTCAAAATCGAGGTAATCAGCAGCCATTCTAAATGACAGTTTCGAGTATGCTTTCTATGCGAAAAACCGGTGACTAAAAAGCATATTCGATAACGATACAAAATCAAACAAAATGAAATACGGATGCAAGTGAGGTTTCGTATTGCAGGCATCGCAGAGCAGGGGGGCTGTAGAGGGCTCGGGGGGGCTTTAGCCAAATATTAAGTAATAAACTACCAGTTAAGCCTCTTTTTATATGGTTTTAGGCCCCCCACTTTTTCTAGACCCCCCACTTTTCTCAACGCTCCGCGGTGCCTGCTTTGAGGGACTAGACTTTCTTTCTCGGAAAAATTCATAAAAATTAGAATTGAAGTTGCAAGAAGA